CGGTTGGATACGAGTCTCCCCTCCCGTCACACTTCGATGTCAAACTCCGAACCGTTCTCCTACAATGCCTCCTTCAGACGACTCAGTTCCAGACGTGCCCGCCCTACCGCGGCGTCGTTAGCAGACCTTTTTGTCAGCTCCCTGGTCATGGCAGGATACTGCCATGAGCACACCCCTCGCGCTAGGGGGATCTCTACGATCTCCATGAAGAATCCAGGGAACAATGTCGCTCAATGGCAGGATCGGGGGTTGACACATCGCAGGCAATTGTCGTCGAAACATCGCCTGGACTGTCTAGGCACATCGACAGGGAGTCTGCATCGTTCAAGTGCACAACGAATGATAAATTCCGGTGTTGCGTTGAGAATAGAGGACGAGGATGGTGAAGGGAACTGCTATGCGAACAGCCCCTCAGCGAGATCTTCATTCGAAGATCGTTACCCAGGCGCGGGTACAGAATCAACATTACAGTCACGTGGAGGATTACGAGAGATGGATCTGGAGAAGTTGAACAGCGAGCTACCAACAGCGGACACAGCATCAACTAGCGAAGATAATTCAACTGCGAGCGACAACGCCCCTGACGATGACAGGATTGGCCGTTTACCGGATTCGTCGAGCAAGTCGGAGAAATATCGCCATCATAAAAGAACAAGTCCAAGCAGGAAAGCATACACTTCGACCTCACAGTTATATCGAGCTGCCTTTGGTAGTTCACTCAACTGGAAACAGGCAGTTGATCTTGTTGCGAACGAGACACAGAAGGGACCGCCCTCAAACGAGGTATTTCCGACGGTAGACAAATCGCGGGATGCTTTGGAATACAAAACGGTTGAGGTATTTTTGGACGCTATGTGGAATGAGAGGATTTCAAACCATTACGTGTTTCGACTCTACCGAGATCTTCCCTCCCCCGGGGTTGCTTACCTGTCCAAACGCTCCAGAGGAGCACTCCTACGTCGGTTCGCCGATCCTCCAGATCGTCGTTGGGTGGATGCTCGTCGCTACCTTGCGTTGATAGAAGATATGGTCGCTGCGAAGCTGCCCATATCCCGCTCGCTCTGGAGTTCCGCTATACACCTTGCAGGACGAGCGTCTGGCAAAGTACGCAAGCAAGATGTGGTGAGGGCCATTGGACTATGGAAACAGATGGAATATCTGGCGCGTGTTAAGTCTGATGATGTCGTGTTCACCATTCTTTTCGATATTGCCATCAAAGCGAATCAGTTCACCGTCGCGGAACGACTATTGGAGGAAATGAAGAAGCGTAATATTGAATTCCGGCGCTTCGGAAAGGTCTCCAAGCTCTACTATTGTGGTATGCAAGAGGATGTTGCTGGCATTCAAGAGACATTCAATGAATTTGTTTCGAGTGGTGAGATTGTTGACACGGTTGTAATGAATTGCCTAATGGCGTCATTCATTCGTGCCGGAGATGTGGACTCAGCGAAACAGATATATGCGGAAATGCTTGAGGCCCAAGCAAAGTCCCAAGAGACAGGGGAACTAAGCATCGAGTCGAAGCATTCAAAAACACCGCATCTCACATCGGAGATGAACCTCTATAGGAGCAGAGTGAAGAAGCTGGGTCGAGTCCTGCAAGAATCCACCTCACTGAAAGAGATCATGCCTGAACACCATCGTGCGCTTCAGCAATCGCTTCACGCAATCCCTGACACTCGAACATTCCACATATTTCTTTCATTGCACGCTTACAAAACCGCTGACATCCATGGTTTCATGTCTGTCCTTGCAGACATGGAGAAAGTGTTCGTGGTTCCGCCGCGTGGTATGATATACCTCCTACTTTTTGACGGATTCGCTCGCAACGGGCGAAACAAGAAGGGCTGGACGGCCGAACGGCTACGTGTAGCTTGGAAAACCTATCTGCGTGCTCTTTACGAGTCGAGGACGAGACTCATTGAAATGTACCGCAGCCAAAGTGGACAGCATATCACAGAGATCCCGGTATTGAAGGCCCCCGCCGCCATGGAGATAGGCTGGCCAACGATTTCGCGAAAGCCAAGCGGACTGTACACTCCATTGCCTTTTGCTGACACCGCTGCCAAGGAGTGGGGCGAGGCCCAGAACGAGGAACAGAAGGTGATGGGCCAGTTCGACGAGCGCAAAGGTGTCTCCCATGTGAATGAAAGCATGGCTGCTCTCGAAGAAGATATTGATGTTGACGAATTGTTTCGACAGCAAGCTCAGGACCTGCAAAATGAGCTGCAAAATGAGCCGCAAGATTCGGAAGAAATCGAACGCCGGATAGAGAATGGCGTCTTTCTTGGCCGTCGAATGGTCATCATCATTCTCCGCGCGTTCGGCGCATGCTGCGGGCCAGAGGAGCTTATGAAGGTCTGGCTGCAGATTATACGGATCTGGCAGCCGGAGAAGCGCAAGGCGCTGGACGTCCTGGCTGCCAAGGAAGAGCTAGAGAGGCAGATGAACAGACTCCAAAGGCAATATTAGCCAATTATGGAGGGTTAGATGTGGGACGGTGATACATGTACATTATAGACCTGTTATAGTAGTATATACCCTCAGGTTGAAGCCTGATAGCGGTGTTTTCAACGGCAACAGCTAAAGGCTGTCGCTTGTTATCCTGTACAGCGAACAAGCTTGTGTGTTATTAGTTTTTTTAAATGATGTCATCAATAATGGATTCAAGAGTTGGGTCTAGAAATTCATTTCAAACTTACCAATCTAGGTGTAGTATATAGTGCTATTGGCAATGGAGAGAGATTCCGCTCACTATATCAGAATCCCATCTGCCTTCCTGATTAGGATCTCTATCTATATCACGTGGCATCGCGTATCGTACCTTCCGCGCGTCGCGTCTTCCAGCCGATGCCTCAATTCTCGATTTTGGGAAAATCTCCCAGCCTGTGCAGACATCTGTCGTGCTTCTAACGATGCTGCAGAAATGGGAAGTGGGAATCTCAAACGTCGCAATGTGGATATAGACTTCTACCTCCGCCGAGTTTTCCGGAAGAAGTCCTTTCGGTATGTTCAAGCTGCCACCAGTTCCTACTAGTGTACTCGACCTAAAAGAGACTATTATATAGTCCTCTTCAGCGTGAGGTGATCACGGCGGCCATCAACGGCCATGATGTGTTCCTGCAGGCAAACACTTCATTCGGAAAAAGCCTGTGCTTTCAACTACCAGCAGTAATAAGCCATGGCGGTTGGTCCACCTGCGTCTACCGCTCGAAGATCTTCATCTTTTGGATTGTGTCTGATGATGTCTTTAGTGACCGTTGTGATTAGCCCTTTGCTTGCTTTGATGGTCAGCCTGCGCAATATCCACCCTCGAGCGGTACTAATATGTCGTGCAGACCGATCAAGTAAAAGCGCTTCAAGCTATAGGGGTTGCGGTAGCAACAATCAACTCCACGACTCCGATTGCTGAGAGACGTGTGATCTTGGACGACCTACTATCAGGTCACCCGAAAACCCGGCTTCTCTACGTGACACCAGAGCTCTGTCAGACAGAAAGCTTTCGACGCAATCTACAGACTATCCACCGCCAGGGAGAACTGAATCGTGTTGCCATTGACGAAGCTCATTGCATTAGTGAATGGGGCCATGACTTCCGGCCGGCGTACAAAGAATTGAGTTGGTTCAAACAAAGTTTGACGAATCCACCGATCCCAATCAGTGCGCTTACAGCGACTGCAACGCCTCGTGTTCGGGAAGATATCATCAGACTTCTTGGCTTGGACGCTTCCATGCTGAAGATCTTTAACACTCCTTCTGCACGTCCCAACATTCATTACGAGATAAGGTACCTCAACGATTTTGCAAGTGACCCCACAGAGCCAGAAGATTTCCAGATCCACAACCTCGTCTCATGGCTCCAGTCTGTCCAGGCCCGCAGAGAGGCCGTCACTGGCTCTGCGCCCGCCACGCTTTCCCCGATATCTGGGATTATCTATGTGCCTCTCAGAGCCGTATCCGATAAACTAGCCCCTGCTTTATCAGCAAGCTGGCCCGGCCGTATTCATGCTGTGGCTTACCACGCTGGCCTATCCTCCGAAGACCGTACGCGCATCCAGTCCGAATGGACATCATCTAAGTCATTCCCTCAGCATGCAAATAATGAGAACGAATTACCAGAACACCCGGCATTTTACATTATCGTCGCAACTACTGCATTCGGTATGGGCATTGATAGCCCGCACGTCCGCTTCGTTGTTCATTGGAGTCCGCCGCGGAGCTTCGAAGGCTTCGTTCAAGAATCCGGTCGCGCAGGTCGCGACTGTCATGCCGCCGCATCCATTGTCTACTACAACACACAAGAGCGAGATAGGATTCTTGAACGTCTGCAACGAGACATTGAGAACGCTCGCAATCGCACTGGCGCGCACATGAGCAACCAGAACAGCAAGGCACAAACCACCGTTCAGAATCAGCTTGCTCGACTAGCTAGCTTTCAAAAGGTGATCAGCTACTGTGAGAATACCACACGATGCAGGCATGACCTGATCAAGGATTTCTTTGGGGATTTCGAACTTGAGAAGATGGGTTCCCAAGTCCCTACATCGGGGATGAAAACTAATGGTTCCACTGATTCACCATGTGACTTTGCTTGTGACTTCTGCAAGGAAGGTTCTCACGCTCTTGCCCTGCGAAAGGCGAGAATGGCGCCCGAAAGCCACACAGACGACTTTGCCGACATGGACGTCCCGTGGTATATGCAAAAGATGTTCCCGGGGGTATTTTCCTGAGGTTGATCCTTAGAAGTTTGAGTATCTCTTATAGGTTTCATATATATTGCGATAAGAATTTTCAACGATACTGGGGTATAGATACTGGCCATCTTGCTGGTCGACCACTGACACGACTATTCTTGTCAAGCCAGCGTACGCGAAAGATATCAGTATTACGGTTCAATACCGTGTGGAATGATTTTTTATACCACCCCAAAGAAGAGGCGTGCACACATCCTACCAGAGCCAACGGATTGGGCAAACCAAATAATTCGCTAAGCAAAACAGCAAAGTTTCTTTTAGCTTCAGAAATGAGCGCAGATTTCCGGCTTTGCTCTACAGACTTTAGCAACACAGACCAAACCTCGGTTGAATAAGAACGAAAGAACGGACTAAAGGTACAGACAGCCTAGAGGCAGCTCGGTCGTCGATGGGGCTCACTGGCAGGCAGGTATCCATTGAGCCTGCATAGAATCACCGTTTCATACTCGTGAATAAACATAGCCTTCTTTGATTCTCTGCTTTGGGCTACTGCTATGGCAGCTTCCCAAGCATCACCTCACAGTCCTGGAGGGGGAGGGACCTAATCGAGCAAAGCAGTTAATACTTGGGCTTGCCCACTCAACATTAAGTCAGCAGATTGTACTTACAGCACTGTAGCTACCGCCGGGCGGAGGAGGTGGCGGAGAGCCCGATCCCGGAGGGGGAGGAGGGGGAGCCTCGCTGGCAGGAGGCGGCGGCGGCGGAGCGGGGCTCTGGGACTGTTGCTGTTGCTGTTGCTGCTGCTGCTGAGCAGCCGCCTGGTAGTACTGGTAGTAGGCAAGGTAATTCTGGTAACCGCCGTAGGCAGCATATGGGTCGGTTCCGTAGTATTGAGCATACTGGGCGCTGTAGTCGGGAGTTCCGGTTCCCGAACCGCCAGCAGCACCTGCGGCTTGGGTCGACGGGCTAGCAGAGGTAGATGGCGAGTTCTGGTGATGGTTGCTACCATATCCGCCGCCGCCGCCACCACCACCACCGCCGTAACCTCCGCCGTAGTGATAGCGGTCTCCGCGCTGGCCGCCATAACCGCCGTAGCTGTGCTGGGGTGGGTTCTCCTTGAAACGCTGGTACTGCTCGCGAACATTGGCTAGTAGATCCTCACACAGGGCCTTTGCACTCTGGACATCATTCGGGTCGGGACCACTGCAGAATGGAAGTAATAAGTATCGGTGAAAGCTGCTTCCGGTGCTGCAGGGATAGGAAGGGGTTGTAGGTGCGTTACGTACGCTACGTGCAAGAACATTGGCTCATCGCTTTCCCTGCCAGTACTGGGCTCCATGAAACCAGAGCCACGGCCTTTAATTTGAACCTTGCAGCGAGTCTTCTGCTGGATGTGCTTCACGTAGGCACCGCCTTGTCCGACGACCTGAGCGCGGAGGTTGAAGCCAGGGATCGGTTCGAGATCGACAGGGATGCGCTCCTCGGGCCATTTGCGCTGTATACCATTAGTTGTCTATAGACTTCACTCTGGGGTCTTGAATCTTGAAAGGAAGGGACGGGGAGAGTAGCTGGTGCTGGTATGGTGTGAAGGACGTACACGACCGTACTCATCGCGCTCTACTTGCTCGGGTTCGCGACGACGGAACCGGCGCTCATCGACCAGGTTGGGGAGCTCTTTCTTCATGAGATCGTCGATCAAGGCGACGGCCTTTTCAAGGCCTTCCTTGTTTGTGCTCGTTACGTGGAGATAGAGCGGGGGGTTCTGGGTGGGGGTTGCGTGTTAGTAATTCAGATAGTCTGAATCAACGGGGGAGTTGGTATATGAACGTACCGCGGCGGTGGCCATGCTCTTATCCGGGTAATAGTTTCCTCTCGTAGTGACATCTTGAAAAGAGAACAAAAATGATGAGCTTCCTTCTTGTAGTCAAACGTTTGATAATAATATGAATATGGAATGAAAGGCGTACCGGCGCCAGTTTCTTCTTTGATCTAAATGTCACGCAGCGGAGGTCAGCAGATGCAAATGAGGGCAAGTGTTGGGATGCTATTGCAAGATGTTGACTTGGGTAAGCTTTAGCCATAACCGCAAAACGAATCATTGGAGAAGAAAAAAGGACAGGGTATAAGAAACGAGGCCAAAAACGAGCAAGCAAAACCAAGCAAAAGGCGCATGGCGAACGACGGAAGCCAGCAGCTAGCTAGGCTTGCGACAGGTTTTGGGCTTTGGGCCTGGGCAGGATCAGCGGATGTATATAGGAGTAATTACCATCTTCTGAGTAGAGCCTTTGGTCAGCGTGTAACGGTTGCGCAAGTCATTAATCTCAATATCCTTGATATAGTCTCCATCAGCAACGTAGATCTCTGCGTTCAACTTTCCAGATGCGTCGCCGCTGGCAGGTGAGCCGGATGTTGGTACGGGGCTTGCGGTCTAGGTAGTGGAAACCAAAGTCAGCATATTGTGTTATCCTTGGTGTTGCGACCAGCATGGGCGTTGCTTACCGAGCGAATTGGAGGGACGTCGACATGTTGAATGCCCTTCTTCGCTTGCAACTGGGCGTTGATCTTTGCCGCAGCGGCAGCTGTGTATGACTCCAACGTTAGTTCTGCTGCCACACACGTTTCCTCTTGCCATTATCATAAAGGGACGAACGTACCAGCGGCGGCAGCGGGATCGGTCTTCTTCGCAGGGTCTGCGCTAGGGCTCCGAGGTTCACGACTGAGAGGGCTGCGAGCTCGAGTCGATTCGGACTGTCGCGACGAGGGAGACCGAGAGCGGCGGTCGAAGCGCGACGGGCGTCGCACTTCCGGCTCGGTCTGATCAAAACGAGAGCGTTTCGAGCGGCGATCGTCCATAGTATCGGCAATGTAGGAAGTGAGAGGTTAAGAGAAGGGAAAGGGATAAGTGACGTTTAAGGTGAAAATGAAGGGCGTGAGGCAAGGCAGCAAGGTAGGCTCCGAAAAGGCCAAGATAAACTTGCCAAAGACTTTCGCAGGCGGTGGAGTTTGGAACGATCCGCCCCGGTTTGGCCGCTAAAGAGGACTCGACTCGAGATAGTTTAGTGGCCCAGCGAAAAAGTAGCAGAAACTAAGCAAGAAATGGCCAGCCACGGGGGATGCCGAGCTGCCACTCCGGAGAACTTAGTAGCGGCCCTTTTGCGCTTGGGAACCAATAATAGGCCTAGTGTTTTAAGTGTGTGTAGTAAAGTAGATAGTGTGCCCGTACTGACAGTACAGGGTCCTTTGGATCCAATATTTCCTTTGGAGAGATAGTAGGCAGGTAGATGAACACAACAAATCAATCGAACATTGCGTAAGATGCACTAAATGTATCTATAAGTTGATCAACTACCAAGTAGTAACCACTACAAACAATAGAATCGATGAAGAAACGAAGATGCAAGCCCCGATCATGTGAGTTCACACAAAAACAACTAACCCCAAAACAGCCAAGCGTGCAAACGCTATCTACCAGTAGTTCAGTATGTATGGTAAGTAATAAAAGTCGTCACGGGACAAACGAAATCCTTACCGCCGAGACTGAGTCAGCGCCCCGAGGTCGGAAGGCCGCCGCGTATAAAATGCAATGCGAAGTTCCAACACCTGCGGACTTTATTCTCCGCGACCCCAGAAAAGCCCTGCGAGGATCTCCGGACTTTGTTGCCTGCCACTTTTTCCCACAAAAGTGCAGGCTCTAATCCGTCGCCGGCGATCATGGCTTTCCGGCGTCCTTTGATGCTGTCAACGACAGCATCAACGCCTTTCCTGTCCGTTGCGAGCCGTACCTCACGCCTGGGGGCAGCCTCCCGATTCAGCACCACCACTCGGGTTTCTTCCTCCTCCAGCTCGACCTCAGCCCTCGCCTACAAGGCCCTTCATCGCCGGTCTCCCCTCCCTCTCCCCGTCAACGATGCCTCGCCTCAATGGGACGCCCCCACGGCCGTTTCGTCCATTCTCTACGAAACCCCTTCCGTCCCCACCAACCCTCCCAAGCGCCATATCCTGAACTGTCTGGTGCAGAACGAGCCCGGTGTCCTGTCCCGTGTGTCCGGTATTCTGGCCGCTCGCGGCTTCAACATCGACTCCCTCGTCGTCTGTAACACCGAAGTCGAGGATCTGTCTCGTATGACCATCGTCTTGCAGGGTCAGGACGGCGTCGTCGAGCAGGCTCGTCGTCAACTCGATGATCTCGTCCCCGTCTGGGCTGTCCTCGATTACACCGAGTCCGCTCTGGTGCAGCGCGAGCTCCTCCTCGCCAAGGTCAGCATCTTGGGTCCCGAGTTCTTCGAGGAATTGCTGCAGCACCACCGCGAAATCATCACCCCCGGTGAGCAGACGGAGGGTCAGAAGGATAAGGCTGCGCAGGTTGCCAAGACCGAGTTCCACCCTCGTAATCTGCCCCAATCTCAGGCTTTGAGACACAAGCATGAGCATTTGGATGCGATTACTCGTCTCACTCATCAGTTCGGTGGAAAGGTGCTGGATATCAGTACCAACAACTGCATTGTTGAGGTGTAAGTTACCCGCCCCCATGAGTCATACATACAATTTCCCTGCATCTCTTGATTCTGATGATATGATATAGCTCCGCCAAACCCTCCCGTATCGACTCCTTCATGAAGCTCATCGGCCCCTTCGGTGTCCTCGAATCCACCCGTACCGGTCTGATGGCTCTGCCCCGGTCTCCTCTCTTTGAGCCTAGCGAGGAGATCGAGAAGGACGCCGCTGACGTTGTTGACGCCAGCACCCTTCCCCCCGGTTAAATGTAATCGTCTGTGCGCTTTTACTTATCTATCTATTATTATTATCTATATCCCGCAATGTAAAAAGCACAACCACAATGTACTTCATCCGTTTCCTTTTGCAGGACCTGAGTTCCACCTAATAATATGTTGTAAATTCTCGCATTCAATGATTGACTCAATTCATTTGGATCTCGCAGTACTATGACTACTACTACTACTACTACTACTACTACTACTACTACTACTACTGATAGCATTGCTTTTCATTGAAAGCCAATAATACTCAATTCTGTATTGCAAATGAGTCATCCGTATCCTAGCGAACAGTCCAGTAAACCAAGTAAGACACAGCCTAATTACCCCAACGTCAAAACGCCTGTTCTATTATTCCTAACGCCGGTTCAGATTGGATGAGAAATTATTCAGGCCCGCTTATGAAAACAATAACCCAAAAGAGCAATAGAATAGACTCCTAAAGTTTGACTCGCGCCTTAATCCCCTTTCCATGATAAAACACTATATCCCGATAGTGTTGAATCTGAACGCCAACCTTCGCCACGGCATCTAATCCTAGAGTGCCACCCAGCGCTTTCTTCAGCGCATCATAACCAATACCGCCGAGGTTCAAGTCCACAGGCAATCGGGGTGTGACTGAGATACCCGGCGGCACGGGGAACGGCACCCGGTAGTCGATGGTGCCGACTTCCTCGTCGCCTTCGTAAAATGCCTGCGCATATACCGAAGTGATATCAATGGTGGTGTTGGGAAATGGTGAGGACAGTGTGAACTCGGCCGTGGATGACCAGAGGTGCATCTAGTAGCAGCACTCACGCAAGTTAGTCTTCCTCTTGTCTTGAACGGAGCGCGCGCTCCGTGGATGAATAAATGCCTCGTCATGATTATGGTTATGGTTATGATAACGTAATGTGTAGTGGTTTATGTGCCATGTTCTGAGACGATATCTATGAAAGTAGATAATACCGTAGCTCCTTGGATGAACCCTTTTGAGTCATCATCAGGGTCGTCCCCGGCACCCGGGGCATGAGGCACGGGTACCCGAGGAATCTGGACCTCGAGCCCTAGTTTCGACAGCGCCTTCCCGAGTTTGGGTAGTCCCGGGATGGTTCCCTCATGTGTCCGTACTGTAACAGTTGTGTTGTATCCTGCGACTATGGTTAGGAATCGGAAGTGGAAAAAGAGGCTCTCTCGAGCTTACCTGAAATATACTTGGAGAGCAGCTCCCGGCCAGCAGCGACGCCTGTCTCCCCATCCAAAACAAGTGGGCTCCAAGTGAGGTCCACGGGGAGACCATCATTGGTGCCCGGGGTAATGGTAAGATCCTTTGCAGTGATGTGTCCGACTCTAGAACCATTGAATAGAAGCAGGAAATCTACCGATGGCACAGATGCTGAGTACGGCGAGGGATTGGTCACGTTGACCAGAGCCTTCACCAGAAGAGACGAGGCAGTAGTAGCTCCAAGTTCTACCGATGCAATATGCGGGCTTAATTCGTCCAAAGAGCCACCGTATGGGGCTACAGAAAGTCAGTCGATAGGCAGGGGAGTCAGCTAGATATGACTTACGCTTAACCACAATCTCACCCTGCGCGGGTATCTCACGAACAGCAAAAGTGCCCAGCCCCGTAGTGACTTCGGCATCTACACTGGCGGCAACATCTAGCTTGACCCGTTTCCCCTGGAAAATCAAGTCTTGAAGAACGTCGGTCAAAACATCTTCATCCGTCACTTCAAGCGGCGCTTTCTTGATCCCGAAGTCGACGTATAGCGCTGGTGAGCCATCAACATCATCGAGCAGAGTCGAGTTGGCAGCCTGCCATTTCCGTAAGTTCAGGATCCCGAGCTTATTGCCACCGTAATAAACGTCAGCAGTAGCCCGGACCCTGGGGACATCCAACTGAAGTCCCAATTCTTTCGGCAGCCCAATCAGCACTTTCACCAACGCAGATACCGTCGGTTGTGATTCTGGAGAATCGGGTTCCGCAAAGGGATCTGGCAGGGTGAAATGCACGTCCGACATTGTGAAGTTCCTGACGAGATTGTCAAGGGCATGCCCAGTGAAACTCAGCGGCACCGTCACGCTTTTGAGAATATCTACAACCCATCCGGGAGTAGCTAGAGAAGGCGGATCCGCCCCACGGACATAGACAGTGGTTCCATCTCCATGAATATAGCTCTTGACCAGGAAATCCAGAGGGGAACTCTTCATTCCTGGACAAACTCTGGTCAGATCCTCAGAGAGACCTTGAATCATGCCGGCGACATCAACTGATGTTGGCTGGCCAGGAGTAACCGGAAACCCGCGAGTCGTAGCAGCGGCTACCCGAATCGGGGCATCACCTGGAGAGCAATTGGGGACCAGGACTTCGAACCCCAGTGGAGGAATGTTCACTGCGAACGGTGAATCAAACTGGACAGCGGCTGAGGCATCAATTGCCATTGCGCCTTGCTGTCCTGGGTCTTCCGCATCATGGACGTTGAGATTCGTGATGTTGACAGCGGGCAAAGAAGGAAAGTCGCCCTCTAAGTTTGAGTTAGGGGCTTATACGACGAATCTAAACAATAGGAGAACCAACCTTCAATGGTGAGGGAGTCGGAAAGGAGCTGCTGGCCCAGGCTGAGGAGTCCCGACTTGATATCAAGGGTTGCTGTTCCTCTGACCGTCAGCTTCTCGAGCTTTCCACTCAACCAATCCAATGCCACGTTGTGGATTCCCTCGAAGTCCCCAGGCACGAAGTCTGCCAGGAAATTGACATGGTTTACATGACCATTCTGAATGTTGACCTTGACGGAAGGCAGGTTGGCCGTGCCTAGAAGAACGTTCCCATACTCCGGGAGATATATTTCGACTTCCGACTGGCCGGATTCGGCCTCCCTTCCGATCCAAGTGACAAAACGACCAATGTCCCGCACTGGTTTCTTGTGTACGCGCCGCGCATCGAGCACCACGTCCCCTTGTATCCGAGCTTGAAGGCCATCTGCAGTGGCTGATTCAATCGAGACATTGGTGGGCTTAAAGACCACCGCCTCCTTGGCGTATTCCTTGACGGCCGCTGGGGCGATAAAGGCGAATATGAGGATGGCGACTACAGCAGCCACAGTAAGGAGAGCACAGAAGATCGGCCATCGTATACGTCCACGGCGATTCTTGAGCGTCCCACTGGAGGAGAGACTTCGAGGTCGGACAGACGACGGCCTCCTGGAGCCGGTCCCGCCGTATCCCAGGAGATCGTCATCGTGACGGACGAGGAGAGGGGTTGATTCAGAGGATAGCTCATACGGACCCGGCTCCGAATCTGAATGATGGGAAGCTTTGCCAATGGACGTTGGGGAGCGATGAGGCGAGATCGGTCGTGGCTCTTGCTCTATCAGAGGCCGACTTGCCTCCTCAGCCATGGTGGGCCGGGCGCTAGGGAGCGGGGAGAAGATCGGGGTTGGAGAACGACAGAATGGCACACTCCGAAGAGCAGCTAGAGAGATGAAGACGAGTTGTGGCAAGTTGGGATGAAAGTGAGTGCTTGGCAGAGGGGAGGGGGTAATCGGAGGAAATAAATACGTAGCGGGAAGGCAAGAGAGAGGCAATGATGGGCTGAGGGAATGGCGATGAAGGAGTGACAAGTTGACAGGGCAGAGTGATTGGGTACGTGGAGAGCATCCCGGCCAGTCCAGTCCAGTCCGGCTGATCGTCAACGTAAGTAAGGCTGGTCCGGGCGGTGTGGGGATGGCATTCACTCTCTCCCATCATTTATCAGGAAGTCAAGGTGAGGCAGATTCTTACTAACTCATCAAATGATTCGATGATCTGCTGGATTCGGTAAGCCCCAGATCTTGTTGCTGCCCTACTCGGAGATTTTCTGATTTATACTGGGATTATCCAGGCAACCCGATTTACTTGGTCGAGTCCCAACCAAATGCAGTAAGTGGCACCACTTCGCGTCACTATAAATATACTGTCACACGAGTTGCTTGGTAGGGGATTATACACTTATTTAATCGATGTGGATTTCAAGTCAAATAAACTACACTCAGAGTGGAGCTCTGATGTTCACGATTAATCTCAATAGACTGCATAAGCTGGAATAGTGCGGTACTAGACACTAGTCAACAATGTGGAAGGGGTCACGATAACGGACAACAGATAGCAGCGACCAGTTAGATAGATACTGGATGACGAGACACTAACGCCTTTTTCATCCAACCATGCTTTGCCTCAATTAAGCTTATAACTAGTTAACCTGTAAGCAAGAGATCAATGTCTTCAAGACCACCCCCCCCCCCCCCCCCAAAAGGTTGTTGGAGTCCGGAAGTCATGAAATTGAATGCCCGCATTTTCACATGCCATTCCGCGCACGGGCGCCCCCTTCAAGCTCCAGCCGAAGGTGGTTCGATCTTCTCCTCCAACCCCGACGATCATCACGATCTGGGTTTAATAGCCCATTGTGCCCTCTCTCCATCTTCCATCAATCTTCCCACCTCATTTGTCTCGAATACTTCCCCGCAAAAGATCTTCCGGTGACCCGTGTGGTCCTTAACGCCCTCATGGATGTGAGTGAGCCCTTACCCCAGATCCACCCACAACCCACTCACTAACTTCCCCATCAAACATCAGTCTTCACAATCTCAAGGCGGGTTTCGATCACGCCGTTCATATCCCGCCTTACACCATGTATCTCTATCTCCACTAAACCCTCGATTCCCCATCGACGATGACGACACCGATGCCCCAGACTACTTCTCTCCTCGCCACGAAACCCCCGGCACCCCCAGCGCAACCAGGACCTCGTATCTCTCTAGTTTCTCCGTCCCCGGAACCCCAGGCGTCCTATCCCACTCTCACTCCCGTAGCGGGTCCCGCGTTCGTCGCCAAATCCGAAGCAAGAGCTCCTCTCGCATCCATTCCAGCGACACCAATCTACAGTCCCGGAGCGTGGCCAGTCCACTCCATCACCAGCAGAATGAAGAGCTCCGTCGAAGCAGAACACGCTCCTCCCGGCGTCACCCCGATGCCGCCGCCCACCATCACAACCCAGACACAGAATGGATGCTCCGCGCAGGCATTGCCCTCGCATCCTCGACCCGCGAAGAAAAGGGTCAAAGCTGGCTCGTGAAACGCCAAAGCTCAACTAGCCTCGTCTCAGACAGCCATCAAATCGATCTAGACAGCCAGCAACAGCAACAGTCATGGGCTTCACGGAGCAGCGCCCGTCGTTCTCAATCCGGCATATCCACACCTGCCGCCTACTCTCGTCGAGCCTCTCGCTCAGGCCCAACAAGCCGCAGATCCAGCAGACCCGACCTGGCCATGACCAGTCTCGACATAAGCCGGTTTTCCAGCAGACAAGAAAACCCCACTACGACCAGCAGCAGTGGCATTCACACCCCCATCGAAGAACAATCCCGTCACATGCTCCCCGATTTCGTGGACGAGCGCATCCGCGCCGAGATGGCAAACATAGCCGATGAAGAAGAAGATGAAGAAGACAACCTCAGCTTCACAACCACTTCGGACTCCCTCATTGCCTCTGAAGACGAAATCGACGAACAAGAATTCCAGCATCTCACCCGTGAACGAGGCTTCGGACTAGGCAGCTGGATCGACCGAATGGTAGAATGGACCTTATTTGGTGTCGACGACTGGCCACTTTCCACAACAACAGCGACCACCGCTCCACCAGCAGTAACATCAGGAGGGGCCATCAATCACGACCCTCAGTCTCTCACGCACGACAACATCCATTCCCAAGAAACAGACACCATATCCATAGCCACAGAGTCAGACATCGCTTCCATAAGCGAAGAGAAACCCGGAACTCGCGGCGGGTGGGAAGATGCCGGGTGGTTGTTCAGGATAGTGAAACAGGCATTGTCATGAACGGGGGAAAAGGAACACGAAACATAACAGGACTAATTTCAATACTTTTACTTGCATATTTATTGTATATCTGATCTAACCATGGATGGATCCCATCTCTTCTCTACGAGAATACAATCACCACTAGTAATAGCAAAATATATATTTATACATATAGGGCAACCAATAAGATCAAATAAGTACTAAACAGGCATAAGCATTGATTGAAGCTGCCTATGTAAATACTTACCTAAGAAAGTAAGCACAAGACAAGGGTTACTACATGTTGACTTCATCAATTCCTGATTTCTCATCCTGCACGACGGTCTGCGAACACGTAAGTGCATACGTAGACCCCCATGCTGACATGGCCAGTTAGTTTCGGCATTCGTGGTTAGCGTACCAGCGGGTAGACTGGTTGATAGCCATGTACTAATAGTAAATTTCGCAGTTATTGGGGTGTGTCCACGGTGTCTGTTTCATTGAAAGTTGCTATTGAGTTTTTACTACTATGGGATGGATAGTACTACCGGTTGTAAGTGTTGGCGATGAAGTGGGCCTGATCTAAAGGGAGTTACTGGTTAGGCAAAATATATATCTGCAGTGCGAGGTGGGTTTCCCCATTGTGGAACATTAGCAGGAGGATGAATGATCATAGCACAAGGATGTAACGAGAGTATCAGTTGCCTGATAACCCGAGACGGCTCGGGAGGTTGGTTCTCGTGGTATTGTGACTATCTGGACAATGATGCTCCCTTTTGTTCTTATGCTTTACTGACATGTAGTGTAACCCGTCCCACCAAATGAAAGAGGCCTCCCAAAACCCGAAGAAGAATATACCTGACACCAGTGATATTATGGGGAAAATAGTAAAGGGTATACAAGATAGGGCAAAGACAAGGAAAATGCAGCTAGGCTGAAAGAATGAAGCGGTTTTTTCCCACGGCGGTTCGAGTATATATCGCCGAGACAGAAGAAGAACACATGAAGTGGAAGGAAATGATGATCGAAAGGAATGAAAGAATGTACCATGCTCGGCTGTGACAATGCAGGATCATGGTGCAATTTTGAAGCGAAATGAAGGATCCTGGGCCTTGATCTGACAATCTAGAAATCATGGGGTTGGCGTCCAGAGATATGACACAAAGGAGGAAATGGAAAATAAACGAAAAAGAATATGTTTGCTTGCACACAGTAAACGCCAAGCTGACCCTCAACTCTAGTTCATGCAGTAGGTAGTCGTGATCGTATCATACGTGGACGTGCACGGTCGAGGATTCGGACAGAGCCCTGAAAATTTGTAGGGCGGGTGAGAGTGTCGCGAAATTGATGTGATGGTTGGAAATGAGGATAAAGGCGGATTGCGGTTGTCGATGGCTGACCGGCTCACCATGGCCCAACCTTGACGGGGGTACCGAGCCCGTATGTGCCCGACAGGAGTTGCTCCCGGATGGACCCAAGGTCATTGCCGCCTGGGCTTCCATAACCTTGGGCATCCGGTCTGTGCATCCATCCCAAACTGGAACCCAGCTCGTTGACGGCTGCCTGCAGTTTACCGCCCGAGTTATGATTGTGCTTCGCCAACTTCTGATCCCAACCACCATACTGTAACTGAATTCCCCCTCCACGCTTAGCTGCTTCCCGAATCACCAGAATCCAAGCCTTGCAGATCTCGTCGTATGCGGAATCCCGCTCGAGGTTGTTCTGTGGTGTACTCCAACGGGGCAATGCGTGAATAATGTCGGTCGCACCATCCAGGTAACTCAAAGAAACAGATGACTGCGTCTCGTGAGGCGGTAAGAAGTGTGGAGTGAAGTCGCTCAAAGCATCTAGAAGATTTCCCAGTGGTTGTCGGACACGATTGTATGCATAATCTGATTCGGAGTTGCCACCGAGTGGGAACGACGACTGAAGGGCGGATTCGTAATGTCGAAGGACTTGAAGGGCAGATGCCACACTGGGTCGAGGTGCTGTGTGGACTACTTCATCGACCAAACCTGGATGACGCTCACACACAGTCCGGAGGATGCCCCGAAGAGCGTCTGTGTCCAAGGTCTCCAGCAGTCGGGGGAGAGCGAGAGGCCGTCCGCTGACGTTTGGACGAGCACGCTTGATGTTTCGGTTTACTGGAAGGGTTCTCGGAGTCAAGGCGGGAGAGTTGGTAGGTGACGCTGACATTCGACCATCGTGATCATTCTCATCGTCGGCTTTCCGTTTGCGGTTGTTGGGAGTGTGAATGGGAGTAGACACTGATATCAGTCAGTTATCAAAGGTCATATAACAAGGGGGTCATCATCAAATGCACTGGAGGAAGCCAAGGCAAGACTTACTTGGACGGGAGGGAGAAGGACGGGAGTATTCGTAAAAGTGATGAGGAGGCACAGGTGGTGTAGCCACCAAGCTGTTCATGATGACCACAAACAGCTGGATGGCAAAGGGAGAGGGAGGGGAGGGAGAGAGGTAGCGAGAGATGACGGGGGGGAAAGCAGAGATGGAGGGACCAAAGGTCAGCCAGGAGCACGAGGGAAAATATCAAAGGGAGGAAGGATAAGGAAAGCGAACAAGCAAGGGAAAGACGGAGTGCAGGATGGAGGATGAAGGGGAGACTTTCTGAAGTGGTGGGGAAAGAGAGAGAAAGACTGAGCGAGAAGCGGTGGACAGGCGGGTTGCGGGAGGCAACGCGGGCCTGAGATGCATTTCTCGCGGATCCATGACTCTGACTTGAAAGTCTGTGACTGCTCTTTCTCCTTTACCCTTTACCCACTTGCCTCAATGTGATCCACCCATTTCCACCTTGGAATCCTACCCTCTTCCTCCCTCCTGATTTGTGGCAAAAAAACCATATTATCCCAGGCTTTGCGCCTGCTGCATCTAACCTGGCCCTGCTCTGCACCACTTACAGCTCCCCAAGGTCCGCATGACCCCAACTCATCAAGCGTCAACTCTAAAACCGTCCGATAAACGGAGCATCTTGTCAATGACTGAAACAGTCAACCGGACTGTTCCACCGCGTGGCCGTCTTGGGATACGGGACCAACCATTTATCAATATCCCCTGATGCTACCATCATTTTCATATTTTCATATTTGCTCACCCAAGCTCGCAATATCCTTTCAACATGCTGTGCTTCTCGAAAAAGGTTACATGCTAACCCTGTGACGCTGTTGTGACTATGTCTACGTCTGCAGTCTCAAATTTCTGCCACCCCAGATTGACATTCATCTGCACTCCTTACCCCAGAGCAGGAATGATCCTCAAGCTGTAACCTGGTCAACCTTGCAGAAAATGATCCTTAGGGGTCTTGATTTAGTGGAACATTGAACTAACGTTGTCCAGCTACCCTGGCATCCGGAACTGGGGCTTATCAACACTGCTCGGGTTTAGTTCTGCTGCCTCCTTAGTCTGCATATATGTCTATACGTCATTGGAACTGATCCGACGCCTGGCTAAAAGATTAGTCCGACTGCAAACCCATATACTGAACCCAGAAGATCCCGGAGCGGGCTTACGGTCCAACACTATGAAACTTCCTAGTAACTTCCAGCGAAACGCCTCATTCGCGGTAATCAGCAATGAGAATGCGCTCATCTGAAACATATTCCCGCTGAACACAGCATCATGGTAACCTCGCCGTATTCCAGACACTCTCATTGAACTATCCCTCAAGCCACTCGGTTGACAGGTAGACGATGGACAGGTCTGACACTTGCTCGTGTCTGGACCATTGGTCTGGGGTTATTGTCCAACCGGTCGTGGCAGGCCCAAGAGAATTCTTATGGCTTTCTGGCTGCAAACGACGACGCCGTGACTATAGATCTCGTTCTCCGAACGACCTGATATATCGTCAAAGCATCTGTAATAGAGAGTCACTTACCACGCCGAGAGCTGCTCCTGAAAGCAAGTCTAGTGCGAAAGGCTCTCTCAGGAAATCTTCATACCGAACTCAATGACTACACAAAACCCGCACAATAGCGTAGCCAAATTCAAAGTAATACAAGAAAACAATATTATCCTCCCTCTTCAACACCACAGGCCAAGTAAAGCCTCCAATCAACCAACCCATAATCCCAATCAAACCAAGCCAACGCCCAGCAGTGTCAAGCACCGACAACCATGATCCAAGCACAAAGAAAACATACATACACTGACTGCAACATTAACAAACCTTTCTATTTCCCCAGTCGTTCGTACGACAAATACAGACTGGGGGTAAGATTACCGGTCGTTGGCTTCATTTTAAATGAATCGTGTCATTGGGGTGCCTAAACACCACTCCCCTCACATATATGCACATGGAGCAGCAACGGAGCCGATTTCTGGGTACGGGGTTTGCGTTTGAAGACGGATAAAATGTATTTCAAATAGAAGGTGACACTATGAGGCATGGGTACTACTGGGTACTAGTCTAGATAGATGGAAGTGGATGGTGATGGTATGAAGCCTAATTGATACTGTCGCTTCTTGATGTAGTCTAGAAATATTGTTGTGTACATCTGATGGGCTCAGGTAACAGAAAGCAAGTAGGAAAAGTAAGATGAAAAAGGGAATGAGATATCTCATTTACAGATAGTAAGAAAAAAAAAAAGTAACGAACAACAAAGCCAAATCCTTTTTGGGAAGCCTGACGCCAGAAAAATGCGACCACCCAGACATACCGCGCAAACCATCCTTTACAACAGAGGTGATGATGATGATGATAAATGAGGAGGACAAAACTGACCCAAGGGAGAAGATAGATAGATACAAGAACTACTAATGATAGGTAGCAGCAGTACCTTAAAGATACAAGGACTGGGCAGCGACAATGTCCCTGCGCACCTTGGTCAAGGCTGTCTCGAATTTACCCTCCAAATCTTCGCTTCCCATGACCTTGGCTGCCTGCGCCATCTGTCGGAGACACTCTTCCAATCGGCGGAAGACGCGAATCAAACTGCCTTCGTAGACGTCGGTCATTTTGCTGCATTAGGAAAAAAGGAAACCAGTCAGCAATCTAATACTACCACGGAAAAGAAAAACGGCCGCGAATGGTGGACATTAAAACTTACCAGATGTCAGCAAAAGACTTGCCGTTCGCCCATTCGAAGATGACCTCCATCAACTCCCAGTGGAAACCTTGCACGTATTCCTCCTCGTTGACCGCCAACTTGGACTCCTGGGAGACCTTGGCGACGATCCGAGCTTGCGCTTGGATCTCCCTGAGGGGCTTCGCGAGGTCTTCCCGTGTCAGAGCAGGGGTCTCCTTGGTCTTCTCTTCAAAGACGAAGACGCTCAGGGCAGATGCCACTTGCTCCGGCGTAAGGTTATTGAAGAAACCGTTGAAGAGAAGTTCACTGAGCATCAACTCGTCACCTGTACTAATCTCACAGGCAACGCGCGCCTTCAGTTGTACAACTTCGGCCTCATTAATGAATCCGAATCGACGAAGCACACGCTTACGGCATTTCAATTCTTCGAGTTGCATGATCGCCATAGCATCCGAGATCTTCTTCTTGGTCTCCTTGATTTTGTTTCCCAAATCCACCTTCTCGGAGTACTGATTGTATAGTTCGGGTAAACGTGGCGACTCGTGCAGGGGATTGGAGAGAAGACGGGACTCCAGAACCTCGATTTTCTACAACGTCAATTAGCCAACAGTGTCACTTCTTTTGTATTGTACGGGATACTTACCCTGAGCGTCTTTTTGAACTCGTCATCCTTGATACCCATGTTCTCAATAGGATCAAGAGTGGCAATGCCATCCGGGAAGCGCTTCTTCACTTCTTCCAGGGTGTTCTTTAGGTTGTTCCGTGTGTCATTTGGCTTCAAGTCTTTGGGAAGACGGAGGCAAACATGCGCAATGCTTTGGATACAGCTGAGAACAACCGGCACGACCTCCATGCGGGATTTTTCATCCTCCTTGGGTGGTCTGACGCCAGCTGGCAGGTCCTCGAATGACTTGGTGCCCACGGAATCTCCATCAGCAATGTTGAGGAGCACATCAACCACATGTTTCTGATGATCGTTGTACTCTTCATTCGAATTCTTCGGTGGCTTGCGATGCTTCCAATTGACAACGATACCCCACCCAAACTCCATGTCCTTATGCTTGATTTGAACCAAGCGCCCAGGCGTCATGTATGACAGGCAATGCTCGGGATGGCTCATCACTGCTTGCACATCATCGCCGAATTTGCGGAGCTGTTTACGCAGGTCGTAGTATTCGCGGATAGTTCCTTCGTCAGGAATGTTGAGATTGGCACGCTTCTCTTCCATTTCCGTGAGTTCTGTAGCACAATTAGCAAGCGGCTTTCGAAAAATCAGGGTATAAGGACGCACGTTTCTCAAGCTCTGCGACACCGGCGGTGTTCTGGAATTGGTAGAAACATTTCTCCAGCATGAACTCGGGCGAGATGCCTTCCACACGCATGAGGTTAAGAATCATGTTGTAACCCAAATGGAAAGCCGAATTTAGTCGATCCTGTTCACCACGGACGATTTCCTTCGCCACGGCGGGGTCCATCTCCTCACCCACCATCATGATAACAATACCGCGATCATCAAGACCTCTTCGACCAGCACGGCCAGACATCTGGATGAACTCTGAAGGCGTAACCCAACGCTGGCTGAAGCCGTCGAATTTCCGGACGCTTGTGAAGACGACAGTTCTCGCAGGCATGTTAAGACCAATAGAGAACGTCTCAGTGGCGAAGAGTACCTTGATCAGACCTTCCTGGAAAAGAATCTCAATCGTCTCCTTGAGGATAGGGAGCAGACCAGAATGGTGGACACCAATACCCCTGCGAAGAAGAGGCAAGATATTCTGGATCTGAGGCAATTCTCTGTCCTCCTCGGACAACATCTCGATCGCGCTGTCAAAGACCTTCTGAACCATCTCTTTCTCAGAATCGTCGTTGAAGGCCAAGTTCTTCATCTGCAAAGCACAGCTCTCACATTCGCGCTTGCTGAAACTGAACACAATGACAGGGTTCAGGTTCTTCAGCATGACCATCTTCACAATCTTGAAAATGTCGCTCTTTTCCTGGGTGCCACCCTTGTTCAACCTCTTATCCTTGCCCTTTCCTTTCCGCTTGGCCATCGCATCTGACGGGTCGTCGCCCCTCTTGTCGGCGATACTGCTCATGGCCTTCTGGAAATTCTCCTCACGGAATACTCCCTTCTCATCCACAACAAGATGCATACCTTCCGATCCATTGGGGAAGAAGTAGTGTTGTAGTGGTGTCGGCCGGAAATCGGTATAGACGACGTGGCAGGGTTGGTTGTGCATCTTCGTTACCCATTCGGCGAATTGCATAGCGTTAGGAATGGTGGCAGACAAGAACACATATCGAACCTTGTCGGGCAACAAGATGATGGTTTCCTCCCAGACAACACCTCTGACTATAGCGTAGATCAGTATCCAGTAAACTAAGGCGGAGATCGGTTAGACATACTCGCATCACGCATATAGTGGATCTCATCGAAAATGACCCAGGCAACTTCGCGCATAATCTCGGAACCCCGGTACAGCATGGACCGCAAAATCTCAGTTGTCATGACCAGGCAAGTGGCTGTTGGGTTGATGGTAACATCTCCAGTCATCAAGCCCGCATCTCCAAATTCCTCGGCAAACTCTCGGTACTTCTGGTTACTCAATGCCTTGATCGGACTCGTATAGATGACTCTCTGGTTGTTCTTCAAACACTGCGCAATGGCGTACTCGGCGACCACGGTTTTTCCGGCACTAGTATGAGCTGAAACCAAGACACTTTCTTCTCTCTGGATCGATGCAATCGCGACCTGCTGGAAAGGATCCAAAGTGAATGGCCACACCCTGGCAGGGGTCTCCGGCGGCTTGTGTTCGGAAATGGGCACGTATGGGTACTTCGGCGGGATGGCGACCTGATGCCGCACCTGGTGGGACAACTTGACAGAGGTAGAATCGTTGACGCCCTGAAGGCCTGCCGATCCCGCGACTTCGCGCTCCTGCTCCGTCTCGAATGAGTCCGCTACCACAGGCTCCGGTTCCTTCTCGAGGCGCGGGCGTTTCGCATCCGGTTGTTCACTGTTGTTGTCGGCGGCGGGGCTTTCTTCGTCCTCCTTCATTTCATCGGCTTCTTCTTCGACGGCAGGCGCATCCGTGATCTCAACATCCTCAGGGGTTTCCGTAGGGATTTCCGTAGCAGCACCGTCCTCCTTCACGTCGCCATTGACCTGTCGCTTCTTGCTCTTGTCTTTCTTCGCTCGTTTGGGAGCTCCGTCCGCAGGCCTAACGGCCTGAGGCTGGTCCTCGAAGACGTCGAAAAGCTCATCCATCGTCGACAGTCTGCCACAAAGGACGCGGGAACGCAAACTGGCCTGGACGGGTGGTTGACGTTCTGCACCGTCTCACAGAAGAGCGATCGCACCGAGAAATTTCAATGAACCCGTGAAGGGAAGCGGCGTGTGATTGGCCCAGACCTCTCAAGGCGGTGAATGGCTGCCGGCGAAACTTGCCGTTCGGAATAGTAAATCACGTGAGCGGACAGCCGGGGAGCAGCCGGGAGTATCGTTCCACTCGACTTGCTCGCACCTCCGCCCGTTGATATCAGTAGGATTGTCTCGACCGTCGTGCTTCTCTGCCTCATTCAAAGTGGGTGAAACCCAGTGTCCTCCATATCCCATCTAGTCAATTGCCTCTAACCCAGCTCAAGATGTACGCTGCTACCGCCCTCCGCGCCAGAATGGCCAACTCCTTCGTTGCCCGTCGTGGCTTTTCCACCACCCGCGCTCAGCTCGGTAGCCCTTACCACTACGCCGAGGGCCCTCGCTCCAACATTCCCTTCAACCCCCTGACCAAGTACTTCTTCTGGAGATACTGGGCTTTCATGGGTATGTGGCCCAATTGGTTGCTGTGATCGTTGCGAATCGGACATCTTGCTGACTTGCTTACTCTAGTCACCGGTTTCGGTGCCCCCTTCGCCATTGCTGGTATGTTACCATTCGTCTTGCGGCAGTTTACGTTCGTCTATCTAACATATTCATTCCTACAGTCTGGCAGACCTACAAGACCCGCTAAACGCTCTCTCGTGCTGTATTTCCACATGCAATGGCAATGTTGGGCATTGGCGGCTGGTCGAAAATGTATCCTACGTTGGAAGCGCTCGGAATTTGTGTATAAAGCTAGAGAATTCATTATGCTCTGATTCAGGAAATTCCCGGGGTGAAATTCACCCCAAAAACATTTGTAGTTGGGGGACGAAGCGCGGTGTGGTGGTGGTTGTCTGATGCCTTATTAGAATATGGATGAAGTCATTGGTCGATTTTTTGTCAGTAGGAAAATTAAAATCTTTGGCTCGGCTTCTGATATGATATTGTTCGCAATTCCGTGGGCGACGCGCGTGAAGGAAAATAAAACCTACGCTTGCAAAATCTAATAATCAACTCTATGAGAGTAAATTTCCTCTAGACATTATTTTTACATTTTTCCTTTCCCCCGTTCATTCTTTTCCCCCAGTGAAGCTTCCGTCGATTCATGGCGGCGGGGTAGAACACTACTCTTACAAAAGATGCGCAACCTCAAAATCGTGCGCCTCGCCGAGGTGCAGCTCCAGAATGAGCTTCCTTTGACAGCAACAGCTTGGGATACAGCTTCAGATGCTGTCGTTTGCACATTTGGACCTTCTGCGTCCCAGCCAGTCATAGAGCTCCGCAGAAAGCGTCATGACGCCTATTTTTCGGACCCCGTAGGGGCGGATGCATTTGAAATCATCGCATCCTGGGATGCACCATGCCCACTACCAGATCTGGACTGCGACCGGGTGCTCTCTCTGCACTACTTCGCTGATAATCTCACTGTCTGCCTGGTGCTGGAAGGAGGTGACATCGTCATTGTCCGTGAAGAACCCCTTCCCGGCGAGGACAAGATTGAGATTGTGGGTACTGTTGATGTTGGTATCACAGCTGCTGCATGGTCCCCCGATGAGGAGCTCCTGGCCTTGACTACGAGAGCCAATACATTCCTTTACATGACGAGAGAATTCGAAAATGTTGCCGAAATTACTTTCACGCAGGAGGACCTCCGCGCCTCCCAGCATGTCTCTGTGGGCTGGGGAAAGCGTGAGACCCAGTTCCAGGGTAAGCGTGCTAAGGCTCTTCGTGATCCTACTGTCCCCGAGAAGGTGGACGAGGGTAAGTTGAGCGCTAGTGATGATGGAAAGACGACCATCAGCTGGCGTGGTGATGGTGCTTACGTCGCCGTGAACAGCATCGAAGCTGGCGTTCGACGTGCGATCCGGGTTTACTCGAGAGAGGGAACCTTGGATAGCATTAGTGAGCCAGTGGATGGACTGGAAGGTGCCCTCAGCTGGAGGCCTTCTGGCAACCTTATCGCCGGTATCCAGCGCCGCGAAGATAGAATTGACGTGGTCTTCTTTGAAAGGAACGGCTTGCGCCATGGAGAATTTACTCTCCGCCTGACGGAGGAAGAACGGTCGACATGGGCTTCGAATATTCATCTGAGCTGGAACGTCGACTCAACGGTGCTTGCGGTGCAATTTCACGACAGAATCCAGTTCTGGACAACCGGCAACTACCACTACTACCTCAAGCAAGAGATTCCAATTGGAGTGAACGCCGAATATCCGTATCCGTTCTCCTTGAAATGGCATCAGGAGAAAGCTCTACGATTTATTGCTGGGGCGTCAGGTAATTAAAAAATTGCAAATATCTTCTATGGTCTGTTTTCTAATCCGTTACAGGATCAATGTTGGATGTGGACTTTGTTTTCGACGTATCTCAGGGATCCACCACCAGCCCGGACGATGTTGGCGCTGTCGCTGTCATCGATGGAAGTAAGTCTCACCACCACATATATTTGGTCGAATGTATCTGACGGCGAAAGAAATCCTTAAATTGACTCCTCTGAGGCTGGCGGGAGTTCCTCCTCCTATGGCTCACAATGAGCTGACACTAGACTCGAACATTGTTGATGTGGCATTCAGCAAGTCGGGAACGCGGATGGCTGTTCTTATGAAGGATCGGTTTTCTATCTTCCTCTGGTCTCTTAAAACGAGACCTGTTCCGTCCCCTATCCTTGAGTCGAGTTATCCGTTGTCGGATGCGCTTGATAGCCGGCCTCGACAGATTGCCTTTGTAAACGAACATGAAGTTTACATTCTCAAGGACAATGGTCCGAACAACAATCAAATTGAACGCACTGCTTTGGAGACACGCACGACTCAGGTTGCTTATCAGGCAGCGGATTCGGAGCAAATACTCTCAATGTTCACCTCCCTCGGACACGAAGCCCTGTGGTTCTCTCACGTTAAGGCGCCTAACCAGCCGGTCACCTACTCATATGTCTCCATGCCTTCCTCCGAGGAGTTTCAGATCCTACCTTGGCTTGAAAGCCCAACAGTCGATACGTACTGGGCTAAGTCTGCACAGATTTCTGAGGACGAGGTAAGCCCTTATCAGGACTTAGAATACGTTCATAGCTAAATTTCTGAAGCACGTTCTGGTCTCCATGACCAGGTCCGGGGCCCTGTATGCCAATAAGCGACTCCTTGCGAAGAATTGCACCTCCTTCCTTGTAACTCAGGCCCATATCCTGTTTACAACTTCCCTGCACCTGATCAAATTTGTGCACTTGACTACAGTGGAAGGTGAGAATATTGACAGTCTACCAGTTTTAACATCAGCTAATCCAATTTTTTAGATATGGATATTCCTCCGGACACTCCTGAAACTGATGAACGATGCAGAAGCATTGAACGCGGCGGACGTCTAGTGACTGTGATGCCCACAACCTTTGCTGTTATCCTGCAGATGCCTCGTGGAAACCTCGAAACCATCTATCCCAGAGCTCTCGTTCTGGCCGGTATCAGAAACTTCATTGACCGCAAGAACTATCGGGCTGCATTCTTGACCTGCCGTAGTCAGATGGTGGATATGAATATCATTCACGACTATGCTCCGGAGCAGTTCATGGAGAACATCCAATTGTTTGTGGATCAAGTAAAGAAGATTGATTTCATTGATGAGTTTATCTCCCGTCTTAGGTATGCAAAAACCTTGTTCTTCAAGGCATACTGGCTGATTACTTTCCAGTGAGGAGGATGTTTCCCAGACTCTCTACAAAGACACCCTGAAAACGCCCAAGGCAGACAATGCGCCGGCCGGAATTGTTGCAACAGCACCAAACAAGGGCAGCAAAGTCAACAAAATCTGCGACGCCTTCTTGTCTACTTTGGAGAAGCGCATTGACACCAACCTGCACAACCTGATCACTGCGCATGTCTGCAAGTCGCCACCAGATCTCGAGTCCGGTCTGCAGTTGGTTGCACGCTTGAGGGGTTTGTACTCCAAACTCCTGATTTTCCTACTCAATACTTACCTCTCTCGCAGAACAATCACCCGAACAGGCAGACGACGCAATCGAGCACATGTGCTTCTTGACGGATGCTAACCAGTTGTACGATAACGCGCTGGGGCTCTACGACCTCGAACTCACCCTCCTCGTCGCCCAGCAGGCCCAACGGGTGAGCAAGCATCTGTAACCCAACCAGCACAGCATACTAACTAACCGCACTAGGATCCCCGCGAGTACCTACCATTCCTGCGCAAGCTGCAGCAGCAACCCGAACTTCGCCGCTACTTCGAGATCGACAACTACCTGGGCCGGACATCCAAGGCGATCAAGCATCTGCACGCTCTGAACGCCCACGATGAACTCCGCGCGTACACAATCAAGCACGTCCTTTACAAGGACGCCATCGACCTCTACAAGTACCAAGCGGAGCAACTGCGCGAGATGACCCACCTCTACGCCGACTACCTCTTCGACCGGTCCAAGTACAAGGAAGCAGGCATCGGTACGTACCCAACAACCATCCCTTATCCCCAATCCTCACCCGCCAAACTAACCTTCTCCTCCTCCCATACAGCCTACGAATCCCTCGAACTCTACACCGACGCCTACAAGAGCTACCACCTCGCCCACCTCTGGCGCGAATCCCTCTACTGCGCAATGCTCGTGCCCCTCACATCCACGGAGCTAAGCGCGCACGCCACGGCCCTAATAAGCACCCTAGTCGAAGAATCCAAAGACTACACCTCAGCGGCAACCATCCATGCGGACCACCTGCACGACATCCCCGCAGCATCGCGTCTCCTCTGCCGAGCTTCCAAGTTCTCCGAGGCAACGCGCCTTCTCACCCTGCACAACCAATCGGCCCTAATCCCCGAGATAGTCGACAGCGGACTCGCCGACTCAATGGGCAGCATGACCGACCTGCTCGCGGACTTCCGCTCGCAACTCAACGCCCAAGTGCCCCGGATCCGCGAACTGCGCATCCGCCGCGCCACCGACCCGCTGGCTTACTTCGGCGGCGACCCTACTCTGGGCGACGGTGCCGCGGGGGTGGATATCCCCGACAATGTGTCGTTGGCGCCTACTGACGCTTCGACATTGGCGGGCCGGTCCATGTTCACGCGGTATACGGGTAACACGGGGAAGACAGGGAAGACGAGCTCGTCGCGGCATACGTCGAAGACGCGGAGGAAGGAGGAGAGGAAGCGTGCGCGTGGTAAGAAGGGGACTGTGTATGAGGAGGAGTATCTGGTTAATAGTGTGAGACGACTGTTGGAGAGGGCGAATTCGACGGTGAGTGAGGTTGAGGCGCTGGTTGATGCGTTGTTGAGGAGGGGTATGAGGGAGCGGGCGGTGGCGGTGGAGAAGGCGATGAGTGAGGTGTTAAAGTTGTGTAAGGAGAGTCGGGAGGAGGTGTTTGGGGCTTTGGTTGCTGAGGCTGTGGGTGGTGCTGATGGGGAAGGTGCTGGTGATGCTGGAGAGGGAGAGAATGGAGCTGGAGCTGCATTTGGGGAGGACGGAGTGCCTCATGCTACTGGAGGACAGAGTGTGTTCTGGGATAGTGTTACCGCTACGGCAAATGTTGGGAAGGGGAGGGAGGTGCCGGCGGTTAAGGAGATTAAGTTGTCGGCTTTGTTGAACTAAGGGGGTTCTCTCTAGGTATTATTGCATCTCATAACGTTGTTGTTCTTAGGTTTCACCAAAAAGTCATACATAGATCATTATAAAAATTCATGAAATCCGTCATGTGTTTTGGTTTATATTATTAAATGGGTATGCAAAAAGAAATGTTGAAGTGGCCCGGGAAAAAGAATTATCTATATTATATAGAGCGATGATGGCCTCTTATCGTCCGCGGAGCTAGAAGGGCTGATAGTCTGGGAAATTGCGCAACAAATGCAAAGCATATGGGTATCTTGAGGGTTTCCG